TGACCCTGGGGCAAAAGTTCAGTTGATTGTTTTGCATGCCATATATTCTTTTTCTTCAGATTTTTTTCGTTTTCTTTTATCTTGTTTTCACAACTGGGGCCTCCTGCACATGAACGGTCGCCATGTTCAAGCCTGCGGCGACCGCCGCTCATGGACATTCACAGACTGTGGCTACATGACCATCACCAATGTCAATGCACAATGTGAAAACTTTTGTCGGTAACGACAGCTGGCAGGGTCTGGAAGAGGCATAGTGCTTGTTATGCTAAATGCCACTTGTGTAAAATTGCAGAACTGGACACGAACGGGGGCCACCATTTTCTCACAGATACATATCTCCTTGGCAAGAGCAGGCCGTGGATATGTAATTGAACGACCTCTGGTAGCCTAAGTAGTCCTCATAATTGTGTGGTGCGAGCCACCTGAGGTATGTGCATAACCTTAATAAAATTGAAGAATTCAGCCCCATTATGTGCAGGGCTGAGGTACGGTTGGCATGAACATTGGAGACCACGGGTCATGCATTCCAATTGCCGGATGTTCGGTGTGAGCTCGAAGTTTGAAACATTCGTTTGCAAACATTGCAACAAGCGAGAGCGCCGGGCAGAGGTGGCTTGAGAGAGGGCACGAGATATGGATTCCCATTCTGAGTTGGTCGCCTATGTGAGCATACGATGCAGAGCCGACCGCACAGCAAAAAAGGGGCCCGGAGAGTTTCCGGGGCGAGTAGCAGGAGAATTTGGGCTGCCTTTCTTGTGTGTGTGTGTGTGTGTGTGTGTGTGTGTTATAGATTTTCCCCACAACAGCCCCACTTCCACCCGGATGAATAGATTCAGAATGAAAGCAGTTTGTGTGTGTGTGTTATAGACTTTCCCCACAACAGCCCCAATTCCACGCAGATGAATAGATTCAGAATCAAAGCAGTCTGTGAGTGTTGTGTGTGTGTGTGTGTGTGTGTGTGTGTGTGTGTGTGTGTGTGCGTGTGCGTGTGTGTGTGTGTGTGTGTGTGTTTGTGTGTGTGTTTGTGTTTGTGTGTTTTCGTGTGTGTGTGTGTGTGTGTGCGCCGCCATATCCACAATACACAACTCGTGGAGAAAAGTACTTGTGCCAGACTGTTTTGTCGCACTTTCAGCGACTCATCAGGAGGTTGAACCTGGACACACAGTCTGGCCAGGATGCACTTGATTGATGGATAAGGACTCACAATGTTGCCCAGATTTAGAGTTGTACCCTTTTGAGAGAGAAAAGTGGCCGACTTTACTCACACCAACCCGGTGTGCACGGATGTGCACATTTCGCCACACTTCTTCTTTTTTTTTTTTTTAAATATTGCTCCAATCTATTTGTGGGGAGCATCACGTGCTGGGAACCGGGCCCAACGTCCCTTATAATGGGAATACATTTTTATTATTATTTTTTTTTAATGGCAATACATTGATGATTGACAATTGATGAAAATTTGGGATGATTGAGGATCATTTGTCGGATGATTTAGGATGTCAAGAGTACATTTCGCCACACACATGACTTTACTCACATTAACATATGCACATGACTAACGTCATCAACCGAATAGAACACCCTCTGTCATTATCGCTGTATCTCGACTGAAAATTGGACCAAATACAGCTATATACTGACCACTTCCATTCTCTCTGGCTGAACACGGTGCCTAATCTGCACTGTGCATACAACATGATGCAAACACAAGGAGGAATTCTTTCAGCAAAGCCAGGCAATGAGCTTTTCTCTTTTTTTTTTTTTTTTTTTTTTTYTTTTTTTTTTYTTTTTTTGGCGGTAACATCTCGCGACGTCCGCATCCCGGCCGGCCAGCAGCAGGAGTTAACGAGAAAAAGGGTTTTCTGGGTGAAGTTCGTTAATCAAGTGTTTCGCAGATTCGCGAGCCAACGTGAAGGATTATGGCAACCACAACGCACTATTGCTTTCATATATGCGGCAATGAGTGAGTAGTTTGTAATCAGGATTCGAATGAGGCGCATTTGCGTTAGTACATTGAATAGTTATAGTACATGTAGTTGGCGTGTTGCTGGGATGCGAACAGGGTTGTGTTTGGCTTGTTCTTGGAATTTTTGTGTACATGCTTATGACTGTGGGCTTCGAACAGACAGGGCCCTCATTAGCCACATATCTAGCTAGCTATAGTCTCAAAAAAAAAAAAAAAAAAAGCAACATATAGTCTCACAAAAAAAAAAAAAAAAAAAAAAAAAAAAAAAAAAAAAAAAAACGTTTTCCGGTAACAGTTGTTGGATTCAGGAAGTTGAGATTTTATTGTTAGCTCGGCGGTTGGGGGATCTGGGTCCAGGAACAAGGTCCCACTTGCACGGATAAAGAGATTACGGGCGTTAATCTTTTATATCTACGGTGAATATCGGTTAATTAGTGTAAGTGAGACCTAGCCCCAGGTAGCGGGAATCGGGGTCCACTAGGGGGGGTTCCCTAGGGACTATGGAGTAGCGTTCCCCTAGGGGACCCAGATTCCCGGTACCAGGACTGGAACCACCAGCCTGGATGAGGCGGATCGGCCTAATCAGTTTCGTTTCGTCATCCATTGTGACTATTAAAATAGGTAGACGCAGGGGAAAAAAAAGGAAAGAAAAAGAGAAGGAAAAAAAAAAAAGCGTAGATGCAGGGACTTAGTTCACCCTCTCAGGTTTCGCGATCGGATTGTGAATTTGTGACGACAGTAGACTACGGCCACGGAGGGTTGGGGGGTTGAAGGCGGATGTTGGGACTGTTGTTGGCGTGAAAAATAGGCTACCACTGCCTACCAGCCGGGCCGCCTGGGGGACACCCCGTTTTCCCGGGCGGCCCGGCCGTGCAAGGACCGGGGAAGGTCCCAGCAAAAAACAAAAAAAATCCAAAAATTCCAAAAAAAAAACTATGTTATGCAAGAAACAAAACTGAACAACTTTTGCCTCAGGGTCAAATCGAAATTCTTTACCAAATTTTAAATAAAAAATAACTTTGAAAAATATATATATATATATTTTTTATTTTTAATTCTTTTATTTGTTTTTGGCCCGGCCGGGCAAGTGGTCCCATGCCACTCAGGTAGCCTAGCTTGAAAGTGGAAACCTGTACTGTGTTCGATACTCGTCTACTTCGTCACTACGGTGACCGCGTATTCTCCCCCTTGCACCATGTGTCTTCTGACTGTGTGTTTGACATGGACCACGTGCGTTGTACCTTCACAACGGGTAACGTGGACGGAGAACATGAAATTTTCATTTTCGAGTTGTTTCTTGCAAACAGCAAGCTACTTCAAATGTTATTCTTCCATCAACAAGGACAGGATAGCCTCCACGCCGGGCCCGGTTCCCAGCATGTGCTGCTCCCCACGAATATAGATCAGAGCTTGTATGATTACGAAAAAAAAAGGGGTAAGCCTCCACGATCAAAACTTCTCCCCATGAGTCCTTCGGGACATCCGTTAAAATTGGAACGATGCAGAGAAGATTAGCATAGCCCCTGCGCGCAAGGATGACACGCATATATCAAGAAATGGTCCCAAAAAAAAAAAAAAAAAAAAACTTCTCCCCATGACAGAAAGCGAGCTCCACGATCCCGCTTCCCGAGTTATAGGATGTTTCTTGTGGGTCTTGTCCCATAACTCCTTGAGCCCTGAACACTAGAGAGGGCAGCACTGCTCCACCATACATTTACTCGACTCATGGAGCCATAAATACATATAAGGCTGTGCAACCAGCCAATGCAAAAGCGGGCTGAGTGCTACACACACACACACACACACACACACACACACATATATAGAACTCCGACGAAACAGTTTGTCACAGACTGTTGTCCTCGTCTCCCTCCTTGCCTACGGTTTACTGGGCAGCTCTGTTTGACGATATATATCGTCACAAACAGAACTGCCCGGTAAACCGTAGGCAGAGAGAGAGAAGAGGACAATATATATATATATATATATATATATATATATATATATCGTCAAATATATATATATATCGTCACAAACAGATATATATATATATATATATATATATATATATATAGTCACATAACTATGAACTAAAAGAGCGCACTTTGTGAAACAAACGGCAAAAAAGAAAAAAAGACAGACATGAAGGGCACACTGAAACCATTCATTTGTCTCATTCTTCTTTTAACTCCCCGTTCACCGTGCCTCTCACGTACAAGGCTCGCCAGCTGATGAAGTTGCGCGCAAGCTGCCTCCATCCCCGTGTACCATAACGGCCCACTTGTACGATGTGAGAAAGAGGCAGAGTGAAGGGGGAGGGGATAAACACGGAGGAGAGATGGAGAGCAGACAAACAAAGAACGATAAAGGTAAAGGGAAAGTTTGGAGTGTGGAGTGGAGATGAAGGCAAAATAGGATAAGAAAAGGCGCAAGAATGAATCTGTCCTTGATGACAGAGGACATACATTGTAAAGATGAGGTGGATGAACACATGATGGAAGAGCTCGCTGAGCATTCTCAGTGCAACAATTGCCACGACGGCTGGCATTGAGCATGCCCACCATACACCCCCGACAAATGGGATGTCGATTGAGTCAAACAGATATATAAATACATGCCTTATAATCCACCTATCCGACCTTCCTTGCTGATCTACATATCTGATGTATGTTGCCACATGATCATTATGTGGAGTGCAACGCAACATGGAAATGTAGAAAGACAAGGGTGGGGGGAGGAGGAGGAGGAGGAGGAGGAGGAGGAGGAGGAGGAGTTGAAACAGGGGATCTTCATCAATACAAAATGCAAAGGCCATTGGAAGTAAAATGAGCCAAGTAAAAGAGAAGGTGGAGAGAGCAGCAAACCAATGGGGCTTCAGGCACTCAGCCAGACCTCCTGGGAAAAAGGGGATTTGAACCCGCAACTTTTGGTGAGGTGGATGCAATGGTGGCTCGACAAGAAAAATGAGCCACGAGGAAGAGGAGAAGGGAGGCAACGGAAGTCCACAGATAAGTCAGCACAGCAAACATCAGATACACACTCTGCGAATTTGTTAATTCATCCGCCCTCGACTCACCACTCACCCATTACGCAACATGGTATGTATCTTGCTTCAGAAGCTGGCAAGGTACGTTCATTGTTTTTCACATTTGGCTGACTACGTCGTCCGTGCGGCCAAGTCTCTTCCATCATCCTGCATGCTGCCAAGATCTCACACGAAGAGGGAATGACAAAACGATGAGAAAAAACACAAAAAAAAAACAAGAACGAATGACGACAACGGAATGCGGTTAAGTCTCGGTAGATACAGGCATGGACGGTAATCCATGGAGGCACCATCGCATCGTACCGGTGTCACGCCACATCATAGCTGGGTTGTCCCTCTCTCCTTTGCCACTGAGCTGTCACTGACAATGACAGGTCACTGACAGTTATACTCTCCAGGCAATGGAACCCGTATCGTTCGTTGATCGACATGCCGACGTGGCATGGTGATACGTCATCTCGAACTGAGCTTTTCGGCCACCACCATCAACGCCTCTGAGATGAGGCGACCCGCTTCGGCCACATTCATAGCAAGTATACGTTGCACCTCCAGCCCTTCCCGAAGTGCGTCGCATTGCATCTGCCCGACTTGCATGATTGTTTCACAAGATCTATTGCAGGACATACCGACCGACGTGACCATCTTCGATGTGTGGGTTTCAATTGCGCGCAGCATCTCGTCAAAATCCACTTCCCGGACGTGCTTTCGCTTCCGGGAAGGAACGAAAGGTGGTGGGGTATGTTGCGCCGTGTGCTGGCTAGCGTCCGGATGGCCTTCGCTCTGATTGTGCTGGGTATGCTCATTCATGCCTTCACCGTTGTCAGATCCCATCATTGCAGCCGCTACGTTATCCAGATTTGGGTTTGCATCTTCGGCATCCTGCACCCGGACTCTTGGTTGGCCATGCGCGTTCATCTGCTGGCGCCTTTCATTGGCGTCAATAACAGGGCTTTGCGAGTCTGTGTCGGTGCTGCGAATTGTGTTGGGGTCAGTAGCTTGCCCATGCCCAGTATCATCCCTGAAGATTTCCGCCCGATCGCCGCTGTCCAGCAGGTTCGCGGTACGGTTAACCCTTCGATCGTGAGCCTGGTTAGCGGCTGCACTGAACGTGTGCTCAACTGCAGGAGCCGTGCACGGGTCAGTGATTGCGGGGGTTATGGAAGGGTCAGGTTTTCTGATCAAACTCAGGTTAATTGTTCGGGCTACAGAGTGGTCGAGGGTTCCAATTACCATGGAGTTAACTGTTGGGGGCGCCGAGGGGTCAAGTGCTCCGGTTACAGGGGGGTTAATTGCTGGGCTTAAGGAGGGCGTGAGCAATCCACCTACGGCGGGGTTCGTTGGTGGGGTTCCCAAGGGGTCAAGTGTTCGAGTTATGGGTAGGTTAAGTGCTGGCGTTACGGAAGGGCTAAGCAGCAAGGGCGCTGCCAGATTACCGGTTGGGGTCCCGTTAAGGGCGTTCGCTGTCGGGTTTATCACTCGGTCAAGTGCTCCGGCGAAGGGGGCGGCCGCGGTGGTGTTTACTGCTGAACTGATCGTGCGGACTAGATTTGCCCTTCGTTCAAGTTTCAGTGAATCTATGAGATCGAAGACCGATCGCTCCATAGCGAACTTCAAGCCATGATCCCTTCTTTGTCGAGGCGTCATTTCCCAGAAGGACTTAACGTCCTCTCGACGATCATTGTCGACAATCCGTTTGTACCATGACAGGAGGTTGTCCCACCTCCGTGTGCACTCCACTGCCGTCCTCTGCACACCCAACTCCGCCATCCGCTTCTGGATATCATGCCACTTCCGTTCTTTGGCGTTTATCCGGCCTCCCGGCCCACCATCGCCAAACAGTTCCATCTGTTTTCGCTTGCAGGCGATGAGAGCGAATGTCTCTTCCGATGACCACCGTTCGCGCAGCTTCTGCCGCCGACGGCCCGCACGACGTTCATCGTTGCGCTTGCGCGGGGACTCACGCCCATCCTCTGCTGTTAGCGTCTCCGGCAAGATGCATACTCGCCCCTCTCCTGCTTCATCCCCTTCCATTTCCATGCCTTGCTGCCGGACACACAGCGTCATGCGTACATGTACACATACAACGGACACGGACACATACACGTAGACGAACATGTGCGAAGAGGGGAAATCATAAGTCCTCAGAAGCCTCCCCCACCATCGAACCCATGACTCATTAAGGTCCGTTACAGAGGGGGAAAAAACAAAAAAAAAAAGGCCCGTTACAGAGTAGACAAAACTTGAAAAACGAAAAGGAGAAATTTCCCGAGAGAAAGTAGTGCAGAAAAAGACGTTCAAGCAAAGTGAAGCAAAGCGTTCTTTTTTCCTTTTAACTTCAGAAAGTGTCCAATTAAATTCCAAAACCAGTTCACTGCTTTTTCTTTTTAATAACAATTGTTACAATGCCCAAAGTCCAACGCCACCAACTGGCCTAGCTCAGTGGTACACCCAATGAACTGTTGAAATACAGACCCGAGCAGGGTCGCATACCTGCCGAGCGCCGGCCATTTTGCAGCCGACCAGTAGGGCCGACAAGTTGGCGGTCTGCTGACCAGTCAGAAAACAGCCATCGTCTGATCTTTTTTTAAATCTGAGTTGGAGGCTGTAC